TGCATGGGGTCGCTATGAGTCGGTTCCGACTCGATGGCACCCGACAACAACAACAATTCAGTCTATATGGTAAGTAAATAATTGTAGAAGCTGGGTTATATGAAGAAAAACATTTGAGGATTAAGGTGTGCCTGACCCAAACCATAGTATTTTCAATAGACTTATATGCATATGAAAGTTGGACAATGAATAAAGAAGACCATAGAAGAATTGATGCATTTGAATTGTAGTGTTGGAGAAGAATATTAAAAGTACCATAGACTGCCAAAAGAGCAAACAAATCTGTGTTGGAAGAAGTCCGACCAGAAGGCACCTTAGAGGCCAGGATGCCAACATTTCATTTCTAATACTTCAGACATATTATCAGGGGGGATCAGTCCCTTGGGAAAGACATAATGCTGGGTAAAGTGGAGGGTCAGGGTTAATGGAAGACCACCAACAAGATGGGTTTCCACAGTGGCAGCAGCAATAGGCTCAAGGGTAACAAGATTGTGAAGATGGTGCAGGCCTGGCCAGTGTTTCTTTCTGTTGCACATAAGAACATGATGAGTTGGATCTGACTAGATGGCACTTAACAACAACAACATTCTGTATATAATATATAATAAAAATGTATTTCCAGGAATAGAAAAGTACACGTTTTTCCTGTTTACATAATTTCCATTGCAATTTCTGACAGTTGTGGTGGTGTGCCGTAGAGTCGGTTCTGACTCATAGCTACCCTGTATAGGGTTTCCTAGCCTGTAAATCTCTATGGGAGCAGAAAGTCCCATCTTTCTCCCATGGAACTGCTGGTAATTTTCAACTGCTAACTTTGAGGTTAGCAGCCCGACTCGTAACCACTACACTACCAGAGATAAGCTCATCTATTCTATGATTGCTGTTGCTGTATCTCAGAAATAACCTCCAAAGGACCTAAAGAAACTGCTTGTTTCACTATGATGCTGGAGCAAATGAAAATTGAATAATACGGGAAAAATTCTCATTATAAGAGAAATAAGAATATTAATTTCACAGACATGAAAGGAACTTTTATGGGTTTACATAAAACAGAAAAGTGGATGAAAAGTTTTTTAAAAAGTATCTCTCAAAGAATAAAAGAAAATTGCTGGCCTGAGGTCTTTTGTATTGCTTTGTCTTCTCTCCGTGTGAACTGGGTGAACATAGGAACCCCTCTACTCACAGAAAATTATTCTAGAATCCATTTCCACATAAAGAATTCTTCTTGTTCTACCCCTCCTTTCATACCACCCAGTTTTTGAATAGGTTTATGTCATCATGAAAATAAAAGGAAAACAGCATTGTTGAAAGTAAGAGACTATTTAGTTTATTTATTGTTCCCATTTTTAGGTTGAGAATAAAAAGAAAATAGTAACATATATACTAATATTAGAGATAGAATTATAGTTGCAGAACAAGATGCCTACAGAAATTGTAGGACCAGATGTTGACAAGTCACATGTACTGAGAGAAGGCCTTACAAAAAGAGAGAAAATTAAATTAGAAAGAAATATGTAATGTTTGGGAAGGAATGTGAGAAACAGTATTCAGTCTTTGACATGAGGAAAGTCAAGATTTGCCTCAACACCAAGTTGTTTACCCAAAGCCTATTAAAACATTGTGATAAAAAAAGCATTTCTGACATTTGCAGATATTCTGGAACTTTAGGTGATAGGTGAGAGCTTAAAGACTCCAGGTAAATATTTCACTGGTTTACCTCTTGCTCCATTAAAGTGTACTAGACAGCTATGGAGGCGCTTTGGAGACCCATGAATTCAGCAATACTCTTGGGAACAATTATCTGTCCTAACTATAGTGAAAGAACTTTGTAGAAGAAGTTGGAAGTGGGTACATGAAGGCAGCTTGGTGAAAGGGGTCCACAATAGATTACCTATTTCATTATTCATAACTCAATAGAGAAAGATTCTAAACTTCACATTTTTTTTTTTAAAGAAAGGAATCAGTGATGAAGTCCAGATCCTTGTCTCCAGGACACTAACTGTGTCAGCAGAGGAAGCACTATTAGCTAAATGATACTGGTGGGAATTACCATTATTGGACCTATGTTCCTAAGGATGTGATAAAATATTCTGAGGGAGAAAGACTTCCATATGTAAAAAGAGCAAATTCTTAAAATGATTTAATATCAACATTATATGTTAGTAAAGTTATGAACATTTTAAAGTATTTTATTCTATATCAAATAAATTAACAATCTTAAATTCAGGGGTTACTCTGTAATTTAGGAGAAATACTTTTGGATGTGACAGACTGAAAACATATATTCTATCGGCTCTTGTCAAATGACAGGATTATATGAATTTTAGGTAAGTCTTCAGAAAAATGATAGGAAAACACTGCTATCCTGAACAATATTGCCTTTTAACAATGCTTTATTACTCTCAAAGTCTCAGCTACTTCCAACTACATCATTCTAGTTTGCATCACTCTAACATTACTGCAGCTTGAATGACTCATTCATTTATAAAGCATTTTGAGGCCTTTTAAATATGTTAAAATTCTATGGAAAGTTAAGCTCTCATTTTATCTTCAAAGAGTATTTTAAGTAATTTATTTACAGTGAAAACAGGATGCTATAATTATTTAATGTAGGAAATCTAAAATTAAATCCATGGCTTTACAAAAGCAGACTTTACAAGGTCTATGCAAAGGTTTTACTAAAACTGCTGATGCACAGAACCAGAATAGGTCAATTCATTAGGGAACCCTGTAAAATCTTCATTCAAACACTGCTTTTAATTTAACAACCACTCACATTGGCATTTATGAGCATGGTAAAAGGAAAGTAAAAGTTCTTCCTGGTAGAAATAAATACTATTCACCTTGAAATACAATTTCTTTTCTGTGAGTAGAAAGAGGATGGAAAGGCTTTGTTAGTCTTACCTACTAATAGATTCAATGAATGTATTCACTTTAAAACAACTATGATTTTAAAATTAAATTTCAGTAGGCTAGTGAGTTTCTTTTACATGCTATATTTTTAAAAATTCAAATGTGTTTTTTGAATCCAGTGTCTAACTTTGTGTATTTGTGTGTGTCCCTCTTACGAGTGTGAGTTATGCCTTCCCTACATTTAAATTATTGACATTCAGTGTGCATAATCAGTAAGATTAATAGCGTAATACAAATGGAACTGTAAGTGATAGTAACATGCACTTTGGGGAAGAAAGACTATGGGCTATACAATTATTTGCTTTTTTCCAAGCATTTTCCAGGCTTTAGATAACAAATAGATACATAAAAATACATTAATTAGTAAGCTTATCAGAAATATCAATTAGCCATACAAGGAGAATTATGCAGTTATAAAATTTTTCAGAACAATTTATGAAAGTAAATACTAATTAGTGACTCTCTATTGTTTTAATCAAACAATTTTCTTTAGCTTTTAATATGAATAATTTTAAACTATTCCTACATGATATATTCTAAATACATTACAGAAACAATGATCTTTTCAGTTCAATATTTAGAGTTCATCTTTTGCTGTTTTGTTTTGTTTTCTCTCAGCCCACTCATTACACTAATGTGATCATTTTTATTTTTCTGGGACTGACAGAATTTCAGAGCAAATCTTACCGTAATTGCAGGTCCAGCAAAAGCCAAACTAAGCAACATGAGGAATGGGATTGCCTCCTGGGTCGGTTCAATGTACGGCATACTAAGACTTCGGTCATAACAGCTGAATCCAGAATGCACAGGCTTGAAGACATCCGTGAGTTCAAGAAAATAGAGGCTAACCACAGACGATGCCAATATAGGCAACTGAGAAAGAAAGACAGAAGCTCAATTCATCCTTAAATGGAGGAACATAAATAGAATCAGTACATTTTGAAGTAGGAAGCAAGTGGATTTCTCTCTTTCTCTTTACATTTCTTCAATTACAGAATGAAAATCATACATAAATACTACTATGATTTCTGTATTCAAGATGTATTGTTAATTTATCCACCTCAGTTACTAACCTATTATAAGTTCAAGCCATCCCTCACCTTCATTTTTGCATTTCCCCCAACTGGTACTCTACTTTTACTTTTGTTCTCCCACACACCCATCCCTTTTATACCTAGCATGTGGATAACCATTTGAAATTATTTCAGATCATATCACTCTCTGTCTTCACCACTCCCTAAGGTTTCCATTCTACTTGAATAGAATGTAATTCTACAGCATACAAATCTCTGTGAGAGTTTTCTCTTATTTCAGATGCTTACCTTGCCCTTGTGCCACATTTTCACCACTCCTTAGCCCTCTGCCCACTACAATCCAATTTGCCATTCTTTTCTTGTCACCGTAAATTCATTTCTGCCTTTTTATTTGCTGTTCTTTGTTCCTTTCATGTTTTACCCCTTGCTTTTTGCCCAACTGTCTTATTATTATTTAGTGATACCTTCCTGAACTCTCCCTCTTAAGGTACCTCTTAATCCATCTTCCACTCTCCAACCCATTACTTTCCTTGATTTTCTACATGGCACTTAACACTAGCTGAAACTATCTTTTCAACTTGTTGTTGTGGTTAAGTGTTGTCGAGTTGGTTCTGATCCATAGCAACCTGTATAGGGTTTCCAAGGAGCAGCTGGTGAGCTTGAACAGCCTACCTTGCAGTTCAACCAACTTTGTTGTCTGGTGCATTAACCTACAGCACCACATCAAGATATTTGATCATTTTTCTTCTCTATTCATACCTTACTGAAATACAATCTCCATTAATTGAAAGTTTGCCAGTGATATTAATTGCTGAGTCCCTAGTGTATAGATACATTCCTGGATCATCGTAGGCATGCAGTCCACCATTTAATAGTTTAAGAAGAAAAAAATGTTTGTTGGTGAATGACTAAATGCAAAAATGAGTAAACTTTAATTTCTTACAATAAGTTAACTAGAGTTTTTAGATTTAGCAAATAAAACACATACCACCTAAGTTAAATTAGAATTTCAAATAATCAGTAAATAATTTTTAGTACAACTATCTCCAATGCAGTATTGAGGAGATCCGGTTGTTGTTGTTAGGTGCCATCACGTAGGTTCCGACTCACACTGACCCTATACACAACAGAACAGAACACTGGTAGTTCATGATACAGTCAATATTCTTCAACACCATATCTCAAATGCACCATTTCTTATGTGGTCTTCCTTATTCATTGTCCAACTTTCATATGTATATGAGGCTATTGATAATAATACCCTGACTTAGGTCAGGAGCACCTATTCCTCAAACTGATATCCTTGGTTTTGAACACTTTAAAGTGCACCTGACCCAAGCCATGGTATGTTCAATGACATCAAATGCAAGTGAAAGTTGAACAATGAATAAGGAAGACCATAGCAGAATTGATGCATTTGAGCAGTGGTGCTGTAGAAGAATACCAGAACAAAAAGTTTTGTATAGAAGAAGAACAGTCAGAATGCTCCTTAGAAGCTAGGATGGCCAGACATTGTCTATCATATTTAGACATGCTATCAGGAGGGGCCAGTTCCTGGAGAACCGCACTATACTTGGTAAAGTGCTGTGTCAGCCAAAAAGAAGAAGACCCCCAAAGATGGATTTACACAGTTGAAGCAGCAATGGCCTCAAGTGTAACAATTGTGAGGATGGCACAGGTCCAGACAGGGTTTCATTCTTTGGTGCATTGGGTTACTATGAGTCAGAACTAACGCGACAGCTGGTAATAACAGCAACAACTATGAAGTCAGATTCCTATAAAAGCCTTGAATTTCTGAGGCCATAGTCACAAATGATCAATTGGCATGTATTTTATGGATGGTTTATTCATTTATTCTTTCATTCACTCAGTACATTTTTATGGAGCGCCTACTAATACTATGTATTGTTCTGGTTCCTGAGAATACACTTACAAAAAACTAAAATCCTTATTTTCATGAAGATTTCATTTTAGCTGAGGAAGACATATAAAACACAAAAAATAATAATATTAGAAAGATAATACATGTTATACCAGAGAACCGTAGTATTTGAGTTGTTATTTTCTGTCAAGAACACCTACTAGAATAGGTGCCATTTGAATGAAGATTCGAATGGACAAAAAAGAACTTTTGTGCTGTTGAGTTGATTTCAACTCACAACACCATTTAGCTTAGTAGAACTGCCCCACTGAGTTTCCTAGGCTACGTTCTTTGCAGGAGCACATCTCCAGGTCCATGTGTGTTTGCTGAGTGTTTAGCAGCTGAGCACTTAATCAGTCTGCTACCTGTGTTCCTAAGAAAGAACAAGTCATATAAAATTTTGGATAAAAGGCATAAACAAAACATGGAAAGTGATATAAAAATATCAGAGAGGTATAAGTGATATAAGATGAACCCAGACTTGAAGGGCAAGATAAGATAGAAATTCAGATTTTATTTAAAAATTTTAGTAGATGAGTAATACGAATTCAAATATATTTGATTAAAATCAGTCTGACTGTTAAATTGAGAATACCTAATGCTGTTGTTAAGTGTCTTGAGTTGGTTCTATCTCATAGCAACCCTATATAGGGTTTCTGAGGAGTGGATGATGGGTTTGAACCATTAACCTTGCAGTTAGCTATCCATTGCTTACCCTACTGCACACTACCAGAACTCCAGAGAATAGATTATAGTGGGCCAAAGGTATCAGCACGGTGAAAACTGTTGTTGTTGTTAAGTGCCATCGAGTCGACTCTGACACACAGTTTCAGAGGAGCGGCTGGTGAGCTTGAACTGCCAACCTTGTAGTTCAAACCAGCTTTTCAGTCCAGCACATTAACCCACAGTGCTTAGAAGACAACAATTATTCAGCAGTTATCCACTGAATACTGTTATGAATTGAACTGTGTCTTCCAAAAAATGCCTGTCATAAATCCCAATCTTTATGGGAATGGGTTGTCTTCGCTGTGTTAATGAGATGGGATTGTTGTAGGGTGTTCTTGATTCAATCTCTTTTGAGATACTTGTAAAGCAGATTAAACAAGCCAACAAAGCAAAGATGGGAGGAAGGAAAGGATGCCAAGACACATAAAGATTACTCAAGAGCAGAAGCTAGAAAAGATAATGCCCTTCCTTCAAAGTCTATATATAGACACTTTGCTTAGAGCTGGTACATTGACTTAGGACTTCTAGCCTCCTAAACTATGAGAAGTTCAACTTTTGTTTGTTAAAGCCATCCATTTGTCATATTTCTGTTATTTGTTGCTGTTGAGTGCCATCGAGTCAGTTCCAAAGCAATGCCATATAGGGTTTCCAAGGAGCAGCTAGTGAGCTTGAATCACTGACCTTGTGTTTAAACTGACTTTGCTGTTCAGTGCATTAACCCACAGCACCACATCATGTCTGACTCTTATTTCTATTATAGCAGCACTGAACGATTAAGGATAAATTTGATACTGGAAGAGTGGGTTGCTGCTCTAACAAATACCCAAAATGCAGAAAATTTTTGGAATTGGGTAATGAGTAGAGAGGCTAGAAGAGGTTAAAAGAGAGGCCACTCATTTTTTGGATATGTTATCAGAAGGGATCAATTCCTGGAGAAAGTCATTGAGCTTGGAAAAATGGAGGGTCAACGAAAAAGAGGATGACTCCATACAAGACAGATTGACACAGTGGCAACAATATATGGGCTTCAACATAACAATTATGAGGATGGTGCAGGACCAGACAGTATTTCATTTACTATGAGTTGGAATCAACTGGAAAGCACCTAGCGACAATTATAAATGCTTAGATTATCTTGATGAGACCATTGCTAGAATTAGAGACGTCAAAGTAACTTTTGGTGAGGGCTTAAAGGAAAGTGAAGAGCGTTATAGAGAAAGTCTCTTTCTTTTAAAATACACCTTGTGTCCTTTTTTGAGCTACTGCATTCATAGGTGTAGGTCCTGTTTATTGAATTGTATCAGATGAGGCTTTTTTCCCCCCCTCTTTCTTCTTCGGGTTGAGCTCTGTTTATCCAGTCATTGAATTCCGGTCAAATGGGTATCATCTGCAAGTGTGGTGTTCTTACGTCTGTCCCGCCTCTTTTTATCGGCTGGCCGCCCTGCTCTCCACTCTAGACCTCTGTGGCTGTGTCATTGACTCTGAGCCCACGAGTCCCCAGATGTTGCCTCGCTACTGGCCGACCAGGTCTCCACCTGAGTTCACAGTAGTTTGCTTAACCAAGAAGAGTGAAGAGGGGAATCCTTCCCAGAAAGGCAGTGAGGCCTGAGATGGAGGCAGAGGAGACGACGTTAAGAGATGGTGTGGCTGGGGACGCGGGATCAGGAGATGGAAAGGGGCTGAGGACTGTGGGGGTGGGTGCAGGTTTACAGGGTACACCCCTTGGTTGGGTGAGGATGCATGGACGGGATGGTAACAATGCCAATGAAATGATGGATGATGGAGTGAATGTAAAGCTGATGTTTTCCCATGTAGACTATCACACAATTCACAATAAAACATTTAATATATATATATACATATACATCTTGTGGGTTAATGCACCAGATTGCAAAGCCATTTGAACTGCAAGTTCACCAGCTGCTCCTTGGGTCGGACTCAACTTGACAGCACTTAACAACAACAGTTATAGAACGTTGTTAGAAATGTAGACATTAAGTGCTGGATTTGAGCTGTCAGTCTTGCAGTTAGCAGTCCAGTGTTTATCTTGCAGTGCCATACCAGGACCCCATGGTATACATAGATGCAAATTAAAATAGGGCACTGTGATAGAGGGGAGGGATTGGGGGCAAAGTGCCCTCCTGGCGCTGTGGTTTGGATGATAGGAACAAATGCTGCTCTTGGAAACAGCT